ACGCATGCAGCAGCAGCGATCAATTGAATAAGGTTGAGTGATCCAGCTCCAAGGCGAACCGCGCTAGTGGCTCACACTGCATGCTTACATCGTTGATGGAATCGCTTTAGGGCTTACGCTGGCTGACAACTGGTACCGTCCGCCCCCAAGTCGCAGGATCCGCCCAACGACCTGAAACCCCCAGGTTTTGACATTCAGGAACGGTGATCTAAATTTATCTCTGCCACTGTCAGACAGCGACCCTTGGACCCAGCATCATACAATCTAGATGACATTGCGCGATGCATTCACCTCACCACCGAGGTTGGGAGGGATCTCCTGCCGGTGCGTCTGCTATCAGCATGTCTTTTCGCCGGACTTATTTGGCTTGAATTGCCATCATGGCCATTTTTTGCCCAAGTCCGTAAACCATCAATTACTCCGTCCTCTACTTACTATCGAATCGATCAACGACCATCATGCAGGCAGTCGCGCTGCTGAGACATGTGCCTCTCTTCGCCTATGTGACGGCGGTGCCCGTTGCTGGTCTGGCCTACGTGAGCCCTTGCTTCTGGCCCTAACGAGGATGGGATCCTCACTGACTTGTTTGTCAGGTGCTTGCTATCTGCATCTATCGTATCTGGTTCCATCCTCTTGCGAAGTACCCGGGTCCTTTGCTGGCCAAAGTGACCAATCTCTATGGAGGGTACTACGCCTGGAAAGGAGACCTGCACCTTGACATGATGCGCTGCCATGAAAAATATGGTGAGCTTGTTATACTACCCTTCTTTTCTATGCCGACTCGGCACTCACTAACGGGTGATGCGACAGGCAACTACGTTCGCTATGCGCCAAATCGTGTGCTGTTCAATACCAATACCGGCCTGAAGGGTTTGTCTCTGTTAGATCTCCGGATCACTGGCAGTCGCTAACCAGATCATCTATTCTCTCAGAGATCTATGCGTACAGCAAAAGCTTCCAGAAGTCGGCCGCCTACGGCGCCATGGTTCATCGCGCTCCCAACACGCTCACCCTCATTGACAAAAAGCAACACGGTCGCAAGCGACGCATCATCGGACAGGGCTTTGGCGACGCCGCCCTGCGTGGCTTCGAAGGGACTATCATGGGCCATGTACGCAAGTTCTGCGACGAGCTGTCCAAGGATATCTCGGGCGGAAAAGCTGGCGACTGGTCTAGTCCGCAGAATATGGGGAAATGGTGTATGTCTCGTCCTTCCCACTCCTGGCGAAAAGCCAAGCTGCTGACGTTTCTCCCAGCAAACTACCTCACCTTCGACATCATGTCCGGCATCATTTTCGGCGAAAGCTTTAATCTCATTGGCAGCCCCAACAACCGGGAGATTGTCAAGTGCATTGAGGACTCTAACGTGCGTACTGGAGTCTTATCACAGGCTGGTGAATTATCCACCCGCCGTCTCGACCGCTGGCTATTCCCTCAGGCGATTCAAGGCCGGAATGCATTCATTCGCTTCGTCAACATTCTTCTCAAGAAGCGCATGTCCGCAAAGCCCTTGAAACGCCACGATGCATTCTCGTTCTTGCTGGATGCCGTCGATCCGGAGACGCAACAGGGATTCACGCCTGCCGAGATTGGTGCTGAAAGTACCACCATGATTGTTGCCGGTAAGACCGTCCTGATCCCTTCCATATCCTTTTCTGTCTCTTCCGTCGCCTAACACCACCAAGGATCCGACACCTCTTCCACCGCCATCGCTTCTACCTTCTTCTACCTCTGTCGCAACCGAGAATGGTACGAAAAAGCCAAGGCGGAGGTTCGCGCTGCGTTCCCAGGCCCCGACGACGTCGCACTCGGACCCGCGCTGAACCACTGTGTGATCTTGCGCGCATGTATCGACGAGAGTCTGCGTATGTCTCCCCCCGCCAGTAGCTCCCTCTGGCGCGAAGTCCTCGACGACGGAGTCACCATTGACGGTCAGGTTTTCCCGCGAGGCTACGACGTGGGTACCTGCATCTACGCCATTCAGCACAACCCGGACTACTACCCTGAACCCTTTGAGTACCGTCCCGAGCGCTGGCTCGACCCCGTACCGGAAAAGGTGCAGCTCGCACGGTCGGCTTTCAACCCGTTTTCCATCGGACCGCGGAGCTGTCTGGGGAAAGGATTGGCCTGGACGGAGCTGATGTTGACTATGGCGTATATGCTATCGAAGTATGAATTCCGCAGTGCGCCGGGAGAGGATGAGAAGGTTGGGGGTGGGAATGAGGCCATGGGACCGGGAAGACAGCGCGAGGGTGAATATCAGTTGCGCGATCATGTCACGGCTGCAAAGGACGGCCCGATCGTGCAGGTTTCTTTCCGATAGAAATTCTTTTTATTTTATTTTTCTCTGTTGGGAAGTGACTTGGAGAATGATATGACGTGTATGTATTTTTAAATAGTATCTCGAAGGGCCTGGAAAGTGTCTGCTGAGAATGAAATTGGTCCAGTTGTGTTTGAATCCGCATGCTTGCGTAAACATTTAAGTCTTCAGCCAGTAAATTAGAACAGAAAAACGAAAAAAAAAATAAAATAAAAAAAATAAAAAACAATCAAGGAAGAAACAAGAAAATAAAATAAAAATGCAATATCCCAAAAAGTTTGATCAAACTCGTCGGATGTTTTCATACAAGATTAGACTATCATTGTTCTATTTCGACTCGGTATCAGGATTCAGACGGAAAACGGCGAGAGCAGTTCAGCGACGAGCCCCAGCCCTGTGTGTACCTCCAACCGGCAGCAGACATGGAAGATCCTAATTACACGGTGAGCATGAACACTTCACCTTCGTTGGGGGCCATTGGGCGGCTGCCGGATAGTTACACTTACATTCTAAGCGTGCTTTCACTGTTGGTTATGGCATTCTGTCAAATTGTCATGTAAACATTAGAACCGCTAAACATTCTTCACATACGAATTTAATCTACATAATGATACAATAAGAGCCAGAAGAACCCACATCAGATGTCCCCTTAACCTCTTCACGCCATCCAAACTGGTCCTCGGCCTCACCACGTTGGATCTTAGTGAGCGCGGCATAGAGCTGCTGACATACCGGACCCGCCGTTGTCTCCTCGGTGTAGACGAAATGGTCGTCGCGCGACTTCCGGGTAATGGACCGAATAGGAACCAAGGCGGCCGCGGTGCCAACGGCCATGACCTCTTTGAAGGTTGCGAGTTCCTCGTATTTGACCTAGAAGTACTGTCAGTCATAGACCCGATTGGAAAGAGAGAGACAGGGTGTCCGTACTGAGCGATGCTCGACAGTCCATCCCAGGGACCGAGCAATCTGCATACAACTATCGGACGTCACACTCCCGATGATATTGTCACTCTTGGGCACCACCAATACGGGCTTCTCCCCGTCCACTTTCGCCCCCAGAAATCCCGAGGTGGAAAACTCATCGATTTCGGAGTGCGTGGCACTGTCCAGGTGCAGGGTCATAGGGAATCCCTCCTTCTTCGCCTTTTCCGACCACCTCATCACCGGGGCATAATTGCCTCCGATCTTCGCGTGGCCGGTTCCGCGGGGTGCAGCACGATCGAAGTCTTCGAGAACGACCGCCGGCAGGGGCGCAATGCCGTGATAGGTGCTGAACGGCTGCACATATACGCAGAATGTATACTCGGCAGGAGGGGTCAGTGCAAAATGCGCCCCGGAGCCCAAGAGGACCGGGCGCACATACAAGGCGGCGCCGCTCGCGTGAGGAGGGACCCACTCCGCGTTTCGAGCGACCGCAAGATTCACACACTCGAGAAAGTGGTCAGTGGGGACGGGAGGAATGGAGACCACGTCGGCAGAGTGCTGCATGCGCGCCGCATGGAAGCGTGGGCGAAAGAGAAGGATCTGGTCAGCGGCCGATCGGTAGGCTAAACACTCTATTATTAGACTCAGGCCCAATGTGGTGTGGGGGAGACAGAGAAAAGCTCACCTTTCAATCCTTCATACACCTGTTGCCCATAGTTGAGGGCCGGGGCCAAGCCGTGGATGCGAAGATATGGATCCTCCACGAACGTAGGCGATGTCCACTTCCCGGTTGAAGCGGAAAAGGTCGACTCCACATGGCCGTTGACTAGGACAGAAGAATGTTAGTTCTTGGTTTCTTCGTGCGGGTCCCTTCAATCCTCTCTTACCCATATCCGTCACCGCGAGCCCTAACTTCGTCCAATCTACTCCATCACCATGTTAGCCTCCATCCAACCTGTATACGATCGAATAGGTACCAACCAATATTCGCTGCTGGTGCGGGTGGGAAAGTCATGATGGGGAATGCTGATGTGGCCTGGGATACGAGTTTCGACGTTCGGTTGTGTCCACTGTTCGTCTTCTCTGGGTTTCTTTTCTCTTCCAGGATCGGTGGTGACACGGGTGATTATGACAGGTTCCGTGGATTACGAGGTTTATCTATGCACTGTCTAGGTCTTTGGTGGACTGATCACCTCAGTGTTCGTGAGTGTTTCTCGCATCCTTCCTTCCTGGTGGCTTCGCGTTGGTTGGCCCCCACAACAACATCCCGAGGGCATGATGTTGCAGATGCACTGTGAGGGATGACAGGGACCTGCAGACTCAGCTTTAGCGTGATAGCTTATTATTATTTTTGTAATAGCTTATTCTTTGGTCTCGTTTCAGCGTCTCGATCGGATGACCTTCGTCATGGATCTCACGGACAATGCGAGATCACCATGTCTGTAACAGCCCCCAAGTAGGGCTGTGCGGTGCGCTCTCGTTACAGATGTCCATGCAATGGTGATCCAGTGCCCCAGTTGCCGGCAAGATCAGGATCAGGTACTCGGTGTTGCTGAGATGGTCGATCCCCCGGAGCCATTGAAGCTGTAAGCTCACCATCAGCAAGCTCATACTCCATAGACATTAAAGAAACAAGAAGACAAGTGTGATGGACAGATCAACCCTTATCCATATTGCCAGAATTTTATTAGCCTGAGTACATCCGGTGGTGTAGCGATACTCTGGAGCTAGCAAATAACCCTGCCCATCCAAAATCATGCGGAACAGTCCCGCGTGGTCCCTCTCCCAGAGTCCGTCTCCTGCGCAAAATCCTCCCCTTGGAATGATGATGAAAGGCCTGGATCCGGTGCTGGCACCTGGGGATCCCCTTGACCCCTGTCCCTGGCCAGTCTCATATGCAGATAACGACATCTGGTCACAATATTCCGGTGGTCTATTCTCCGCCGACTCCGATGTGCTGCACCTCTCCCAAGCAGACTGGCAGAATGCCGACCTGTCAGACAGTGGTAGTTGGACTGCGACCAACTCCCTCGGCGATTTATCCATGACCTTGTCGGACGCCCCATTCGGCCAACCTCCTCTATGGACACCTAGCAGTGTAGGTCTCTGCCTCTCTCTCTCTCTCCCTCTCTCTTCCA